AGAAATCCAGCGACTGTTTGTCCTTTTTCAAATGTTGCGCATGCGTGAAACCACCCCCCCTCCCCTACAGCTCCCTACGTAGAAACGCCTCCTCCCGCCTCCTCCTTACGCCAGAAAACAGGTTTGTTTACAGCCGGTGCGCTGCACATGACTTGTAAACAACTAACTACAGTGTTGGTTAGGCAAGGCGGAGAAGTGAGGAGCGGGGGGAGGGGGTGCGCGGACATTTCGTTCGCGGACGAGAAGTGAGGAGCAGGGAGAAGAGCGGAGCAGGGAGAGGAGAGAGAGGAGAGAGGAGAGGGGAGCGGTGCGCGGAGATTCCGTGCCCGGAGAAGTGAGGAGCAGGGGGAAGAGCGGATCGGGCAGCGGGGAGAGGAGCAGGAAAGGGGTGCAGAGAAGGGTGCGCGGAGATTCAGTGCGAATGAACTAGCTACAACACGCAGCAGCAAGCGGACTCTTTCTTTGCCTTGAAAATTACGTTTTCAGACATAGGATATCGCTTTCGTGTCCTGAAAAACGTTTGTCTAGCTCTTGGAAATAAAGTACGTTTTCATAATAAGCAGAAGTGACCTGTCCAGGAGTAATTTGGCGACCAGTGCGTCAGTCTTTAGACCCTGCGTCTGCTTCAGTCGCGCCATCGCTGGAATGAATCTATAAGAATCACCTTAGTTTGGCTTCGCTGCTTTTCCCCTTGTCTTCTTCTTTCAGCGACCTCAAAGACGGACTTTCTTTTGCGGCTAACTGCTCCTGGATTCTTGTCTGCCATTGCAACAAACTTTGTGCTAACTGCGAGGAAGATATAGGTCAAAAAAAGCCGCTAAGAACTGTTGCGTTGGTGGAGTAAACAGCATCTGTGCGTCTTGCGTCTGTGGACTGCGTGACAGGCGTACGTAAACCACGTAACGGCAGCGCGCAGGCAAGTCAGTTACGCTAGAAACGTAGGGAGATTGATTGACAGCCTGTCAGCTAACAGATAACGAGGCAGTGTTGTTATCTATTGGCAAATGTTTAGCTGGCCCCACCACGTCCAGAGTTGATTAATTTTTATTCTCTTTTTTTTGGTCATCATAATTACAAGGCTACTGCATCTCTATAATGCTATCATTGACAATTTGAAACAAAAAAAAAATCCTCCATACAACCTTTAAGGATTGGTTCATGTTGCTTTATGAAATTGTATATTTTAAAATTAGTGACTTTGAAAATGTATTGATCCTGGAAAATATTACATAAATAGGACAATGTGGTTATTTTGTCTTAAAAATTACATTATATTGTTCTATTAAAAAAAAAAATAGTTTGTTGTCATTGTGGTATTGAAATCTGTATCGAGCTTGGAGCTTTTTCCTTATAGACAAATTGAGTATTTTGACAAACCCAGTACCTCATTGCGTCTATGCATAGTACAATTTTTGCTAACTTTGTTAACCACTCATGTTTTGTACTTTTGATCAATCAATCATTATTTATCTATTGAGCCCTTTACAGCTCATTAGGTGACCAAAGTGATTTACATCAAAATAAACACAATATAGAGCCATGCAGAATATTAAATAATGAAATAAAACAAACTGTACAAAGTGTCACTGCATTGGTGTTAGTGTTAAACGCCAGTCTGAATAGATACGTTTTGAGTCCATGATAGTGGCATATCAGGGGGCAGGGTTTCAGAGTTGACACCCTGAAACCCTGATCACCCCAGAGTTTAAGTCTGACTCTGGGGACTTCCAGTAGAAGTTGGTTGTTTGACCTATTTGAGCTGTGGACAGACAGGAGTTCAGTCAAAAAGGGAGAGGCAAGACCATTAAGGACTTTAGAAACATCTCTCTAATGCATGTTTTCTTTTTTCCTATTAACTGAAACAAGAAAGCTCATTTGGCAGATTGGTAGCAAAATGTAGATCTGACCACAGAGACGGTATAATTTGCCCAGTCTTTTGGCTCGAGCAGCAGAAGAGCAGTTTGCCACATGCATAAATTCATGTTTGTGTAGATGCCTGAGCGTGGTGATCTCTGCAGGCGCTCAGAGGAAGTGCGTCCTCAGAATGTAATTTGGGCTCTGATATAATTAACTGCACTTTACATTCATTTTATTCATCTGATTTGTCAGCAAAAGTGCATTCTGCCTTTTTAGACCTTCTCTGAATGACTATGGTATTGCAGTAGTATTAAAATTAGTAGAGAAAAGTTTTAGATGTGAGATTTAACTTCAGAAAGTTAGGTTTAAACATTTCTTCAAATTTTTATGATGAAAAGAAAATGGCAGCGGAGAGGCCTGGGGCAAACCACTGTGTAGATCTTTGATTATAATTGTCCAATCCTGTCTTATATTAAAAATGTATACTTTAAATAGGAGCCAGGCCAATATTGGAAGTACATCTTCCTCATTTAAAACACAAGATATTATACTAACTTAAAATTAACACAAGGATTCACAATTTGTATCTCATGATGAAACATCGGGGAATCCAAACTTGAGGCCAATTTTTAATCATATACTACCATTTACCCCAGAAAGTCCTTACATTACAAAGTGGGTAAAGAGCTGCATTATATCCATCATTTAGACTAGTCCAATTTTAATGTTGTTAGTAAATGTTATTAATGTCTTAATTCTAACAGTGATTGGTGTAGTAAACTATTTTGTACAGTTACATTAAACACTGCAAATTAAAACCGTAACTATTGTCTCTAGCTGCATTAGCTCTTGGTTGTGTGCTTTGCTCTGTGCCAGCCCTCACCACACCCCCCTGTGTCACTCTGTATAATGGCTAACTAAGCTAACAGCTGGAGGCCAGCATTATATTTAACAAGCCAGAGATTAGTATTGATCTGCTTCACAGAATCACCTGCAGAACTGTATTTCCCTGAGGAAGACCTACGACCTTAACTCTCTTCATAAAAACACTCTTCTGCTTTAATTGTGGGAAAAGAGCAAACTATAACATTTTCACTGCTGCCATATGACCAGATACAATGCTGTGTTAAATCCTATTGACGTGGGCAGAAATTGCAGGTTATGAATTGAAATCTCATGTACTATTTTTTTGCAAACTGTGAATAACTGTATGGTTCAAGTCTTCATATATGGCCATTCCCAAGTAAATGACGATAGTTGGTTCAAATATGTTTGCGTAAAAATAATGAAAAATATGTTGAAAATGTCATCAAATGCAAATGTCTATAGAATGTATATAACCCACTTTTTTTTTTTACTTATTGGATGTTTTTATTGCACTGAAAAGCTTAAAAAACATGCATACTTCAAGCATGCTTGCATCTCCACAAACCTGACTCTTATTTTTAAGATCTCCTACCTACTTCCATGGAAGTGTTGTTTCTTTGGCTGTAATCTTCCACAGTATAACACTTATCTGTCTCATAAAGTATGGTTTTAACTTTCTATTTCCTTGGAACCACAATTAATTTATAACTGTGGCATTAAAAAGTTGAACAGTCCACTGAACAGTCCTTAGTGCCAGACCTTTAATCATAATCATACTCTGATACAGCACGATACATAAGACTACATAAAGTCCATAAATCCTGTTGATAGTGTTTCTTCATCTGATTGTAACAAATCATTCTGATTTTCTTTATTTATTCCCCTGGCTCCTCTCCCTCCTTTCCTGTTTCATGTCACGCTACTGTAGGACTAATCGATTTCTGGCCGCTCGGATGAAAAACCAGGAAGCACCTCCACCAGCTCCTCCATATGTTCCTTTTGATTACATCTGCCACACCTCCGCACTTTCACTATACACAACCCCTGCACCTATTACAGGAGAAATATTAGGAGCCCAGGTTCGAACCACGAGGGGTCAACTGGAGTTTAATTCACTGGGAGCAGTCAATGAAGCGTTCGGAGAGGAGTTGGGCCGAGAGAACCAGATGGCTCTTGTCACATTTTTTGAAACCTGCTCAATAGTGCAAACAGCGAGTAATGACAGCTATCCCTCAGACTGAAGGGGTTCTATTGATTTTACTGCGTGCTGTTGTGAAGAGATGATGTATCATTTGTAAATATTGTTCATGATGGTTTATGAGTGCTTTTATAACTGCCCCATTCTTTGCAGTTTCAAAATAGTCATTATTAACTTTATTGACTTTTTAAAATATATATTTAATCTAACTTTATTGACTTAGTATTTTGTATATTAGAGCTGAGAGCATAGGTCATGTCCTCTCTAGAAGTCATTTTTTTATTTCAGTATTATAGTGATCCTACTACTAGTAGTAGTTGTGTTGAAATGGAAAGAGTAGTAAAAGCATTAATAATAATACATTTTATTTATAAACACCCAAGGACACTGTACAGGACAATTTTAGAATTGGTAGTAATTGGTAGTTCTTTAGTATGAAAAGGAAAATCCAAATGCCAATAATAAAAGTACTATAATAGTCTAATAACAGTAAAAGTAACAACAGAAGTAGAATTTTGCAGTCAAACTATAGTTGTAGTAGTAGGAATTGTATTAGTAAAGGAATGAAGAGCCCAAAATTATATAATATGATTGGATAAAGCCAAGGAGATGTCCTTTCTTGGCCTTGAATGCTCCACAGTATGGCTTTTAAGTCTATCACAGCTCAGAGAAGGAATACATGTTGATTGAAGTTGCTAAAGTCAATCAAAGTTTTTTGATTTGAATAAATACATTATAGATAAGTTCAATGTAATATCACGAAGCACTCCAGGCACAGTTACATAATGCATTTTTAGATAGATAGACAGATTAATACTTTATTGATCCCAAAGGGAAATTCAAGTTTAGCTGCAGCAACATTTCCACTATGCCTACATGGCTACATCTGTATTTATAACAGAGGTAGTAGTTCTTGAAGTACCATTTGTATGCTGTCTTTAAATGCATGTGAAATGAGACTATCCATACCTCCTCTATACCCCCTCCCCATGCAGACAGACATACACCTTATTTACTTACCGCGCCGTGTTATATTCATGTGAATCAATATAATGACTCTTGTTTTGTTGTCCCGCAGCTCTTCCTGTTCCAGTTACTGCGCGGTCTGTCCTACATCCACCAGAGGTACATCCTTCACAGAGACCTCAAGCCTCAGAACCTGCTCATCAGCGACACTGGAGAGCTCAAGCTGGCCGACTTTGGTGAGACTCTCAAGCACTTACACAAGGGAAGGCTGGGGCATTGAAACAGGCATACAACTACATAATTAGACATTAGTGTATGTGTGTGTAGTGAGCCTACACAATGTATTAAACAGGTAATTCAAAACACTTTATGAATAGTATTTACAATTGATATCAGTGTTTTTGTACGTATATGTTTTTTTTTTTAACCGTAGACAGTAGATGGCAGATGTGAAACTTCACTCCCCCTCCCCTCACCTGACCTCTGGTCTTCTTCTGTCTGTTCTGTTCTGGCCAAAGCTGCCACAATATTAAACAGCAGTAATGTAGATAGCATCAAGTGGTGTTCTGTGAGATACCAGATGGCCAGATCAGCCGGTCTAATTACTGATGGTATCTTTAACACTATATTTATTTCACTCTACTATATTTACATTTTGATTTAACCACTGAACTATTAATCAAATACTTCCATGGAATTCTAAAAGTAAACTCCAGAGACAGATAGCTTGGTTAAATTCTACTAAAACATCTTGCTAAAAGGAAGTAAATCATGAGATCCTAAGATATCAAAGTTCTAACCAAAGGACTTCAGAAACTTTAATAGTGTTTTTTCCTCCTTTTCAAAGTATCATAGCAGCACTTAATGCAAACTTTGCAGTGTGCTGAGTCGCTTTCACACCAATATAGCCTCTATAATTTCAAGAACTAAATAACTGCCATAGAAAATATGTGCTTTCATTGTTCAAATCAATAGCATTAGCATATGGCTATGAAACCACACAGCTATTACTTTAATGTACGGCGATACTTAAAGTCTTTGTTGTTGCTTAGTGGATGAGCTATACCTAACAGCATTTTGCCGACGGTGCAGTTTCCATAGCGATGTTGTGCTTTGGCCCATATTGTGAAAGGGACTCGTCAGCAGCCACCCCTCTCCTCTATCAGAGTCTAGACAGGAAGTGCTAGAAAAAAAACAAAAAAAATGTCACCACCTCAGTTCTGGCCCCGGGTAGACTATCAATAGATGGTGGGAGAAATACACACTTTTTAGCAGCACAGAACAGCTTAGGCTAGCAGTTAGCATGGTGCTTAAGAGAAACAACAGTCATTACAGGCTTGCTGGAGTTGGCAAGTTTAGCCACTTCGAAACAGCAAGTAACTCTGAACTACAAGCAATTCAGCAGCTTGAGTGATTGGGTAATTGCTCATTGAGCTGTTCTGTGGCCCACGTACTACATCGTAAACATTAATGAGCTTGTAAAATGTATGTTTGTTTTCATTTGTTTGTTTTCTTTGAGAAAACTTATATTATTATGTAAATTTGCTTTCTAAACAACACAGGAATCTTATTGTTGATATGACAAGTTTAGTGATGCTCAACTGGGAGGTCTGGACTTTGTGAATTAGGGCTGTAGTTCTTCAGTTGTTTGAATCCTTGAATCAGTCAGTGGTGTCTTAGTCAACCAAAATGTGTATTTGTTGACTAATTGTTTTGTTTACATTATAAAAATGTTACAGGTCAACAGCAGAAACAAGAAGTTAAAGGAAAATTGTGTAACGTTTGTGGTGGAGGCTCCATCAAATGCTTTTCTCCATGGAGATGTTATTGCTCTGAATGTTTCACAGTATGATATTAAACCTTACTATCTTCATGGAGACCAAACCAGACCAAGTGACAGGTCAGATCAGTGGAGGGGAAACACTGCTCACAGTCAGAATGCATGTTTTTTCAAGGTATTTTTGAATATATAAAACCACCTGTAATTTAATAAATGTAAGGCAGAGCTGTTTAATGTCACACTGTATAACATTCCAGGCAGAGCAATGACATCCACTGAAACAAGAAGGCAACTGACCCTGCACCAGAAAAGTTACACAATATCTAAAATAATCTAAAATAGATAGTCAAAAATAAAAATAAATACATAAAAAAACAATAAAACTATTGTATTATTATTTATTTTTAATATGTAATGTGTTGATAAATTGTGTCATGAAGAATATGCACTTATATTTACACTTTGCTGTTGAGTGGTGAGAGTAGCATAGACAGTTGTAGTATTTCAAATCTTAAGCCTTTTTATTATGCTAGATGTGTCCTCCGCATTTACATTGCTTGTAACCACTTGAATTGCATTATTAAAATTACAAATTAAATGTAACTAGGGCTGCAAGCAAGCACTGACAAAAAACATTAGACACTATCCATCTCATTTTTCATTTTCTTTGAACAAATGAACAAAGAATGCAATAGTATAAGTCTTTTGATGACTTACTTTGATGATGCCTACGTTACAGTAGAATGCACCACTAAAAGGAAATATAATTTTGTATTTCCAGGGTGCTATGGCCTGCGCAGAGTGGACTAGTTTCTCCAGAATCAGTAAATCATTGATGTGAGCAGTGAGATCTCTGCCGCAGCTCTTAAATGGGACTTTTAGTTTTTGCTTTTTCCTCATTAAAACTCTGGCACAGGCGTGTTACAGGAGATCATCATAAAATATTAGTGGGTGAGCTTTCCAAATTTAGACAGATGAAAGTGCACAGATTGGGCAACCTAAATATGTGCTTTATGAAATAAAAAGCACAGATACTTGTTTTCGTACTGCAATTTAGGTGCTCTTGAAAGGTGCATTGTGTAACTTTTCTGGTGGAGGGGCCTTCAAATGTGCTTCTCCATGGAAACATTTATGCTTTGTCTGGAATGTTTCACAGTATGGTATTGAACTACTTTCTATCTCCATGGAAACCAAACCAGACCAAATTACAGGCCAGATCTGTGGAGAGGCAACCCCACTCACAGTCAGAATGCATGTTTTTCTAGGTATGTTAATAATAATGGAGGGTGGGATTTGGGCTAAATACATCTTAAAAATGAATATACACAGGTTTGACTAGCTTCCCCATCAAAATAAATAACGTCACTTATTTCACCATTTTGTATCACATATTCATCTATTTCATTCCTTACACTGTGATGGAGGGATAAAATTAATATGCAAAACTCTGGATCAGACTGCTGGCAATGCTGTACTATCATTGTGATCTTCAATGGTTTCTTGTTGAGACCTCTTTTGGATGGATTTGGATGAAGAAAATGCTTAGTGGATCCATCTGGTTTGGTCTTGGTCTTGTTCCAGAATGGCTGATTTCTAATTGACCTTTTGACCTTTGCACATGCATTCACTCAGTCAAATCACTAACTATGCATATCCAATTCTGTCAAAGTGCAAATATTTATTCTTATTTTTATTTAAAAGAAAGAAAAAATTTGAATTACAAAAAATACCGTGTGTGTTTACAGCCATACAGTAGTGGGAGCATATGGGCAGCTCCATGCTCAGTAAACAGTGCCTCAGTCTGTCTGGCTTCCTGGGGCACACAGGCTGGCAGTACCCCCTCGGCAGGCTCCATTCATTCAACTGTTTAACCAGCCACTCACCCATTCATCCAGAAGTCAATACATCAATCCATCCAAGCGTTCTCGGAGACTGTGATTAACTGGCATCTGGGCAAGTTCTGGAAACTGGAAATGGAAAATCTCTACTCTAAATATTTGAGTTGTGGATTTTAACATATGGTGCTGAATGCATAGTTTAAAAACATAAGAACTGAAATGGCAAATTGCAATAAAAGGATTGAATGCTATAATTTCAGATTTTACAAAAAAAATTGATATTCAGTTGCCATTTTTGTATATTCACATGATATATTAGACTATATTAGAAAATCTGGCTTTAAAATGCAGGGAAAAAGTTCCATAGACCTTTCTGTAATTCCTTATAGTTTGATTGCTATAAATAGATTGTAGTAGTAGTATTTTTAGTAGAAATCAACTGATATGGGTTTTTTCATAGCCTATGCTGATACCAATTGTTTACAATCCAGATCCACTAATGACCGATAAGCTCTGCCGATATTTTGAGGGAGATAAAAAGGGCAGATTATGATTCCCAAATATTATATATTTGAATTTGCTACAGACTCATCCACCACCTTGCTTTACTACAAACTGAATTAGAAAGCATTGTAGTCACATTTTGTGCAGTCTCCTCTCCGCACTTAAGTGGCAAATACTAAATGGTCATATTTTTAATTAATTATATAGTGCTTTTCCACCTTCGAGGCACTCAAAGCACTTTATGTAACGCTTGAGGCTCAAACAAAATACTGGCCTGTGTTTTAACTGAAATGCTAAAAAAGTGCATATATTGGCCTGTTGACATATCGGTCTATCTCTAACTTCAAGGATACATTTCAGACATTTTAATTATATTTTGTGCTCAGATTTTTTCCTATGACATTAGTTCTCATAATCAGTTGCATTTCTCTCTGGAATGACCCTGTGTACAGAGTTTCCATGGCAGCTGCCGTCCTTACCCTTATCAAAAAACTCCACTGATCTCAAATGATCTCAAATCAACCTTTAAATGTACAAAGTAATTTTACTCATTTGTATCTTTCTATCCTTAGTTTCATTAACCACGTATTTGCAAGGTCCCTTTTCCCTCACTCACTGTCCACCCCTCTCGCTCTCCCCCCGTCCAGCCTTAACCCCCCCGGCCTCTTTGCTCCTGGTCCTGTGACCGATGGAGGGGAGGAGACGACAGAGCAGCAGCTTCATCAATAATGTAAGCCTCGTATTAGTACGGGGGAAAATAATGCACTGCAAAAAAAAAAAAAAACTATGGCTACTATGGTTACTATGGCTCAAAGCAAAGGGGAAAAAACAAGACAACAATTGATGTCTGGAATTTTAACATGTCAAATACATGTAGGAAGTGTAGATAAAATTCTCCTCGAATAAGGGTACTATATAATTTCAAAATATACTCAAGTAGAGGTACAAATATTCAAGTAGAAGTAGAAACTATTGGTCCAAGAAACAAGTATTTGGGAAAACCACTTCTCAGTAATAGAACTGTCCGGCTTTGAATTTAAAGTAATTAATACACAGGACATTAATTTATACACAAAATCTGGTATTTATGAAGACCACAAAATTTGATAAAATA